AGGTCTGAGACTTGAACCACAGTCGGCCATGTGGGAGTTCAGCACCCTTAAACACCATGCCACCTGCAGGCCCCTAAAGTTGTTCTTTTTAAATTTTTTTTGGAGATGCTTTTGCTATAGAGCACGTGCACTCACTAGACATATAGAGACAGACAGAAAGTGAAAAATCACTCCCTGGGGAGATGGCCACGCAGCAATTCCTTCTCCTTCATTCTCCTCTCGGGATCTTGGGCACGCACGCACACGTGCCTGGCATGAGTTTAAGCCACTTGGTCCGGGACTTGAACCACGGTCGACTACATGGGAGTCCAGTGACATAGCCATTACACCAACTGTCGGTCTCTAAAATTGTTCTTTATAAAAGAAAAAAATTTGTTTAAAAAAGTTATAATAATGGTATTGAGGGTTAGTAAAAGATGGAGAATCTTAATTTTTCAGAGATACACACTGAAATTTTTATGGATGAAATATGTCTGGAATTTGTCTTACAATAAGACAGTGGCAGGGGGATGAAAGGGGAACAGATGAAAAACAAAATAGGCCATGTGTTAACAACTGCTGCAGCTGGATGACAGCCGTCCGCTACACTACTCTATTACGGACCTGTCTGGAATTTTTCATGATTAAAGTTTTTAAATAAAAAACATATGCTGGGAACAGCAGTTGGCATACTGGCTACATCACTGGACTCCCATGCAGCCAACCACAGTTCGCGTCCCGGACCCGGTGGCTTAAACTCACGCCGGGAGTGTGTGCGTGCGTGCTCAACATGTCGAGAGGAGAATGGAGGAGAAGGGATGCAGCGTGGCCATCCTCCCTGGGGGGTGATTTCTCGCTTTCTCTCTCTCTGTCTCTCTGTCTTTCTGGCAAGTGCATGCGTCTTATAGCAAAAACCTCTCTCCCCCACCCCCAAAAAATGCTAACTATGAAACTGAACTGACTTATTAAGCTGTGTATGAGCCACCAGACCTTATTCACTGCATATATGTAGTGGTGTGAACGCATAGCTAGGACATTGGTTTTCCATGTTATATTCAACTACTGTTTCCATATTTTTTTTTTTAAGAATTACATATATATTTTTTTTCCTTTTTTTTTGGAGAGATTTTTGCTATAGGGCGCATGCGTTCGCCAGACAGACAGAGAGAGACAGAGAGACAGAAAGTGAGAAATCACCGAGGTTTTTGCTATAGGGTGCATGCGCTCACCAGAAAGACAGAGAGAGACAGAAAGATAGAAAGCAAGAAATCACCCCCCAGTGGGGATGGCCACGCTGCAATCCCTTCTCCTCCATTCTCCTCTCGGGATCTTGGGCACGCACGCACATGCACCCGGCATGAATTTAAGTCACCAGGTCCGGGACTTGAACCACTGTCAACTACATGGGAGTTCAGTGACATAGCCATTACACTAACTGGTGGTCCCAAGAATTATTTTATTTAACTTTATTTATTTATTTTTAAATTTGACTAGAGAGGGACAGAGTAAGAGAGAGGGAGAGAGAAAGCAAGCCAGTTGCCAGGTCCAGGAATCAAAATCCAGTCAGCCATGTGGGATTCCAGTGCCCTGCCGCCTCCCCCCCCCTTTTTTTTTTTGTTTTGTTTGTTTGTTTCCTTATTTTTTAATGGACATGGATTTCATATATTTTTAAACAAGTATTTATTTTTATTTATTCGTTCATTTATTTTCATTTGACCAGTGAGAAAGAAACACAGAGCAAGAGAAAGTAAACCACTAGGTCCAAGACTTGAACTGTGGTTGGCCACGTGGGAGTGTCCAGCACCTTAACCACCACACCACCTGCTGGTCCCTGAATTTCATATATTAAAGTCTATCACTGGTTTACCTCAATTATAAACAAATCTATCTTAGAATGATGATTATATATATGGCTTGTGTTATTTTTCATACTTCTAAAGAACTATTTGGGTACATTTAGGCATGAGAACTTTACAGTGCCATGATATGCTGAAAACCTGTAGCTTTTCTTTTCTTTTCTTTTTTTAAGAGGTTTTTGCTATAGGGCGCATGTGCTCACCAGAAAGATAGAGAGAAACAGAGAGACAGAAAGCGAGAAATCACCCCCCAGGGGGATGGCCACACTGCAATCCTTTCTCCTCCATTCTCCTCTCGGGATCTTGGGCACGCACGCACACGCCCACAGTGACTTTAAGTCACTGGATCCAGGACTCAAATTGCAGTCGACTACATGGGAGTCTAGCAACATAGCCATTATGCTAACTGCTGGTCCCTAAACCTGTAGCTTTTCAAGGGAGCCAGCATATAGAACTGATTTACTAGTTTCTCAAATACTGAATAAAAATCTATTGTTAATTATTACTGTTTTACCTGAAAATATCTAAGGCTTGTACTTTTTGAATATATCTATGGAGAAACAAGGAGGAATACATCTTTCTCCCTATTTAGAGAATCCTCAAACAAGCCTTCTCAGGCTGCTGCTGGCTTTGATGACATTATTCCAGAAAGCGGAAAAAGTAAAGAGGATATCAACCTTCTCTCCGACTTGGAAAGGCAACGTGCCACCAAAATAATGAAAAGTACTTGAGAATCAAAAGGACCTGGAACCACATATTAACTCACTATCTAAGCCCTCAATAAATATTGGTAAGTAAAATAAATAAAATACTTGTTATATTTTATCTAAAAGAGGACTTTTTGCCTTAGGATGCGTCTTAGGCACTCACTGAAGAGAAAGAGAGACCGAGACAGAGACAGTGAGGAGGGAGTGAAAAATCACCCCAGGGAATGGCCATGCTGCCATCCGTCTCCTGCCGGGATCTTGGGCAACCCACACACATGCACCCAGTGAGACTTTCAAGCCACCAGGTCTGGGACTTAAATCATGGTCAGCCATGTGGGAGTCCAGCAACTTAACCACCATGCCACCTGACAGTCCCACAAAATATTAAATTTTAACAAGTATCTGTGGTCTTTGGTGCATGCGAGTAGAGGGGCACATTCTCGGTACACAGGCCAGCACAACACCGTTGGATGCGGGAAGCGTTACTAAGTGAAAGGAGGGCTCTAAAGAATGTTAAGCGCACTGACTTCACATCTATCGATGGAATGTTGCTATTAACTAAGAACACTTCTTCATAAATAATCAGATTTCAAAAACTATGATTAACTAAACAAAAGTAATTTTTATCTTTACCTCCTTTCTGAAGTCTCCTTCTTTTTGTGGTCTTATACTATCCAACCAATCGGCTTTTATACCATCAAAATAACTCTGGACCCTGGATTTCAGAGACTCGTATTGCCAAATAGCAGCTGATCCAAACGCACAGCCTGTGAACTATACAAAATTAGATACGTCACAACTAAATGTAAAAGGAAGAGAGACCCAGGCGTATTCCCAAGGACACTATTTCATTTCTTTTTACAAACCAAACGGAAAGAATGCTTGGCACAGTGAGACCTAGTAACCGCAAAGAATGTTTTACTGTTTCCATTTTATTAACTTCACCCTCGGGCCTACTTCCGGCTACAAATATTCAAATAAAACTCAAAATACTACCTTAGTGTCACTTGAAATGCTACCCAAACACGAGGCTCAAAAGCTTCTTCTATTAATTCATGGCTCCCGTAACTAAGCCAGCGTCTTGAAGCCACCAGACAATACTGACTTCACATCTATCGATGGAATGTTGCTATTAACTAAGAACACTTCTTCATAAATAATCAGATTTCAAAAACTATGATTAACTAAACAAAAGTAATTTTTATCTTTACCTCCTTTCTGAAGTCTCCTTCTTTTTGTGGTCTTATACTATCCAACCAATCGGCTTTTATACCATCAAAATAACTCTGGACCCTGGATTTCAGAGACTCGTATTGCCAAATAGCAGCTGATCCAAACGCACAGCCTGTGAACTATACAAAATTAGATACGTCACAACTAAATGTAAAAGGAAGAGAGACCCAGGCGTATTCCCAAGGACACTATTTCATTTCTTTTTACAAACCAAACGGAAAGAATGCTTGGCACAGTGAGACCTAGTAACCGCAAAGAATGTTTTACTGTTTCCATTTTATTAACTTCACCCTCGGGCCTACTTCCGGCTACAAATATTCAAATAAAACTCAAAATACTACCTTAGTGTCACTTGAAATGCTACCCAAACACGAGGCTCAAAAGCTTTTTCTATTAATTCATGGCTCGTGTAACTAAGCCAGATTCTGAAAGCAACGATAAATTCATACTCTAATCAGAATCGATAGGAACAGCTCCTCAGACCCTTCTGATCCCCTTCCCTTGCCCCCACGTTAAGCAAGTCCAAACAGAACAGCACTTTACCCTGCACTTGTATCAAGGCGGGGACTCCATAAGTTCTTACCCCGACAGTGAAAAAAAAAGGCTTTACGAGACTCCTTATAGGATAGGGAGAAGGATAGAAGACCGTCTCTTCTACAGGAGGGATCAGAGCACTTCTCTTATACGCTTCACTCGGCCCAGTGTCTGATCTTCGGGGCTCAACCTTCCTGGGTGCTTTTCTGAATCCACATTTTTGCTGAATGAAGAAGTTAAACCTACGGAGGAAAATAACAGATTAGAAAAAGTAAAAGCTTGCAAGCATAAACTTCTATGAACCTGCATCATCACTATCTCTGTTTATTCTGACTCTGCAGTTCAGAAAGAGCCAAGATTCCTACTCTCAGGTAGGATTAAAACTCACGGGCCAGGGCCAGTGGTGTCTTAGCTAACTCAACCTATTAGCAAGGTTGCACGCATATGCTAGAGACGGGAAAGTCAGACTATTCCTCAGGCCTAACCATGAGGGTGTGTGAATCTCAGCTACATTCGCATCGTACTTGAATTGGGAATGGAGTTTAGTAAGAAGATGTGGGAGGCATCAATTTTGCTAGCGGAAACAATGGTAGAAGCAGTAGACATCTTTCTTTGATCAGCAGATCCTGATTCGGTAGTTTTCCCATTAGTCTCCTTTATTACTGCATAATAAACCACCCTACAACGTACGTACTGGCTTAAAACCATAATTGACCATTTTTAATTTTTAGAGTCTTTTTTTTTTTTTTGGAGAGGTTTTTCACTATAGGGCAGGTGCACTCGCCAGACAGACAGAGAGAGACATAGAGACAGAAAGCGAGAAATCACCCCCCAGGGAGGATGGTCACGCCGCGATCCCTTCTCCTCCATTCTCCTCTCGGGATCTTGGGCACGCACGCACACGCGCCCGGCGTGAGTTTTAAGCCACCGGGTCCAGGACGCGAACCGCGGTCAACTACGTGGGAATCCAGCGACATAGCCATTACGCTAACTGCTGGATCCCAGAGAGTCTTTTTTTTTTTTTTTTGAGAGAGAGAGATTTTTGCTATAGGACGTGATCGCTCATCAAAGAGAAAGCGAAAAATCACTCCCGAGGGGGACGGCCACACCACAGTCCCTTCTCCATTCTTTCAGGATTTCAGGCACACACGCACTCGTGCCTGGCTTGAGTTTTAAGCCACTGGTTCCAGTACTTGAACTATGGTCAACTATGTGGGAGTCCAGCAACACAACCATTATGCCATCTGCTGGTCCCTATAACTTATTATTTCTCATCAATCTGTAGGTCAGAATAAAGCCAACATTTAGAAAGCAGACATGAAGAAAATGGGGTTCTCGGGGTAATTTGAGAAACTGGATCTTGTCTCACAACTCTTCAACTGCATAAATAAGTAAATCTTTCTAACTGCTGAGGTCACAGTTGGGTTTCCCCTGGGCATAAGGATGCTTGGAGATGTAATACATAAGTTCATTCATTACATGTTACATGACAAAGTATACTCTCTCTCTCTTTAGGAAGCTTTTGTTTTAAATCTCTCCAGATGAAAAACAATCCAGGAAAAACATGATGTCTCAAACTGCAAACATTAGAGACCTTATTCACAGGTTATTTACCCATTCAGGTGGGTATATAAGAGGGGAAAACAAGTTACATGAAAGAATGAGGAAAACAAAGGAGAAAACAAAGTAACAAGGCAGGCCGCCCTTCTGCAGTGCTGCCTCAGTCTGTCTGTCAATGAGTGACCCTTGGAAGCTGTCTAATGTGCTCGGAATGGGACGATCTCATGAGTACTTGGGTTATCACCAGCCACACAACTGTGATGGTTTAGCTTTTAAATAGGATCCTATAATTTTTAAATAGAACATAGAAAAAGTCATATCAAGGGACCAACAGATGGCATTAATGGTTACGTCACTGGACTCTCATGTAGTCCACCGCGGCTTAAAACTCACACCAGGCACAAGTGCACGCGTGCCCAGATTCCAAGAGGAGAATGGAGGAAAAAGGACTGCGGCGTGGCCATCCCCCCTGGGGGTGGTTATTTCTCACTTTGTCTCTCTGTCTCTCTAGCAAACGCAAGCATCTATAGCAAAAATCTCTCTAAGGAAAAGAAAAAGAAAGTCTTATCCATGCATTTTCTGGCTTAATAGTGACACAGCACATAGTCTCATGAGGAATTACGTTTTTATAAGAGTGTGAGAATGAAGACAACTTAAACGTGCATGCAGGCCAGCACTAATACTTCTGTTACTAAGGATCTGCATGAACAAAACGAGCAGAAACAGCCTAATGTCCAAATGGAGACCACATACACCTAAGCAAACACAAGAGATCAGATTCAATCGATTCAAGCAAAACAGATTTGGCCGGGATAGGGAACTCTACATAGTCCACACCAAAATCATTTTCTTGAAATGCACTTTAAGAGTTAAACACGATTTAACATACCTGGGGAAATAATTTAATATACCTAGCCTATAAATACGCCCTGTCTGGCTTAGAGATACTTTAAGACTGTTATTTCAATCTAAAAAGTTGAAGCTTTCTGTGAGTACTAAATCAACTATTTTCCTAAGATAGTTTGGTATAATTGTCAAGGTATGCAGGTCTCCACTTAGAAGCTTAAACCATGTTTTTCAGAAATGTGGCCAGATGCTTGATATCAGTAAAGTGTTGAAGAGCCAAAATGAGATTTTCTCCTTTTTCTGTGAAAGGCCAGGCATAACTATTGGGTCATCAGGAAAGCCAGGACACATTTTTGCATAGAAAAACAGAAATTGCGTCAAGACTTTCCCAATGACCTAAGATTTTAGTCTTTGTGGTTTACTGAAATCTGTTACACAATACTATTTTTGTTTACAATGTTTTTAAAATGTAGAAACCATTCTTAGCTGGTGGGCTGCCTTGGGCCAGCAGTAGCTGGAAGACCCCAGTATTACCACCTTTAGTGCTTGCAAAATACAAATTCTCGGCCCTACTTCAGGTTTATTGCATCAGAATTGCCACTGAGTCATTCTCAAATATACTAATGTTAGGGAACCCACAGTTAGCGTAATGGCTATGTCACTGGACTCACACGTAGTCGACCGCGGTTCGCGCCCCAGACCCGGTGGCTTAAAACTCATGCTGGGTGCGTGTGTGTGCATGCCCAAGATCCCAAGAGGAGAATGGAGGAGAAGGGACTGCGGTGTGACCATCCCCTCTGGGGGGTGATTTCTCGCTTTCTGTCTCTATGTCTCTCTCTGTCTGTTTGGCGAGTACACCCTTGTACAAAAACCCCTCCAAAAAAAAAATCTATATATATACTAATGTTAGAACCACAGACTCCAAAACAGACCCAATAAGCGCGATATACAAGGAAGCTCATGGTCTCTATTCACTGTAAATGCTTATTTCCAGAGGGAAATGTCCTCCAGTTCAGCGTTACCAACATTCTTGCGCAACCACGAAAATGTCATCTTCGAACTTGCCATAAAAATAACAAGTCTTTTTTTTTTTTTTTAAAGTTTTTGCCATACCACAGACTCCAAAACAGACCCAATAAGCGCGATATACAAGGAAGCTCATGGTCTCTATTCACTGTAAATGCTTATTTCCAGAGGGAAATGTCCTCCAGTTCAGCGTTACCAACATTCTTGCGCAACCACGAAAATGTCATCTTCGAACTTGCCATAAAAATAACAAGTCTTTTTTTTTTTTTTTAAAGTTTTTGCCATAGGGTGCAGGTAACAAGTCTTTTTTTTTTTTTTTTTTTTTTTAAAGTTTTTGCCATAGGGTGCAGGCACTCTGGAGAGACAAAGACAGGGAGGGAAAGTGAGAAACCATTCCCTGGGGGGATGGCCATGCCACAATCCCTTCTCCTCCATTCTCCTGGGCTTTGGGGCATCACACACAGGCGCCTGGCATGAGTATCAAGCTGTGGGATTCAGGACTCAAACTACAGTTGACCATGTGGCGTCCAGGACCTCACACCATTTGCTGGCCCTCAGAATGGTAAGCTCTTAAAAAATCATATGCCAATACTCAATATCCACATATGTTGTTTCAAATGGTCTTCATGCCCAATTTTTACAGAAGTCTCCTTATTAATCAAATTGGTTCTCTTGGGCTTCCCCTTCCTAAAACCAGTAGCAAGGTGTACACAAATCTCAAATATTTAACACACCTGTTGCCTAACATACATACATACATACATATGGTCTACAAAAAGTTTGTAGAAAATGCATACTATGAGGCCACCTGGTGGCCTGGTAGTTATGGCTGCTGGATCCCACATAACCAACTGGTCTGTTCCAGGCCTGGCAACATGAAAAACATCCTGAGTACATGTGAATGCATGCTCAAAATCCCAAAAGGAAGAAGAAATGGAGAAGAGATTGCAGTACAACCATTTCCATGGGGGCGTATGGTCAATTTCCCTTTCTGTCACTCTCCAGAGCCCAGGTGCCCGCTAGCAAGTTACTTTTTTTTTGGAGAGATTTTTGCTATAGGGCACGTCCACTCGCCAGACAGAGAGAGACAGAGACAGAAAGCGAGAAATCACCCCCCAGGGGGGAGGGCAACACCGCAATCCCTTCTCCTCCATTCTCCTCTCGGGATTTTGGGCACGCACACACATGCACCCGGCGTGAGTTTTAAGCCACCGGGTCCGGGACACGAACCGTAGTCGACTACATGGGAGTCCAGCGACATAGCCATTACGCTAACTGCTGGTCCCAACAAGTTACTTTTTTAAAAAATAAAATGTTTATTATGAAGCACTACACCTAGATTTCAAAAAACATCTCCCCTAAATAAGCTCCTACTTTAACCCCACTCTCCCATGAACTCCCGGTGATGCTGTCCTGCCCCCCACTCCGTGGCATCTCAAACGGGATCTGCGGTAAAGGGGATCAGGACCACTCAACTCTGACCTCACCCTCCATCCCAGGAGCGCAAGACTAGCGCCCCGCCGCCTGGCTGCGATGGATCGAGCCGAGTAAGCAAGCGGTCCGCGAACCCACGGGAGCGATCTCACGTAGCCTTCCCACTCCCGCCTGGACTCCGATGTGGCAGGGTTGGGGTGGGCGGGGAGGTAAGTCCTCAAGCACTCCGCGAGCGCCTTCAGTCGGCAGTGGCTCGGCCAGATCCCGGACGCAGTGGTTTGGTACCGCTAGCCCGTGTCGGTCCACACTGCAGGACCCTTCCTACCACCAGCCAGATCAATCCGAGACACCCGTCTAGGAGTCAGAAATGACAGGG